ACGCTGCAAAAAGCCTACGTCTAATACCACAACAACTTTCTTGCATGAACTATTTGCACGGTTCGGTGTGCCAGAGTGTATTGCGAGTGACAATGGTACACAATTCACTTCTGAAGAATATAAGGAATTTTGTGAGTTATATCAAATTAACCACATAACGACGCTGCCGTATCATCCGAGGTCCAATGGACTCGCAGAAAGATTTGTCGATACTTTAAAGCGCGCTCTGAAGAAATCCTCAGGAGTTCCAACGGAAAAGGCGCTTCAGCAATTCCTACAAGTATAGAGAATCACGCCAAACCAGAGAACACACTCAAACATGGCACCAGCTGAACTAATGTTCGCTAGGAAAGTTAAGTCAGTGTTTGACAAACTTTTGCCAGGAAAAAATAGAGTAAAGAATACTATGTATACAGCGAGAAAAAGATACACTTCCGGAGAGAAGGTGTTTTTCAAATGCTACAAAAACAACGTTGAGTTCTGGGAGCGAGGCATAGTGGACAAGAGAATCGGTGACCTGGTTTACATAATTAAAGGGCCGAAGAATACTCATAAAAGGCACCAGAATCAACTTAAAAAATGTTACGTTATAGAGCATGAAGAGAGTATACCGGATGAGGAGGAAGATCCTATTGAGGTAATCTTACTAAAGACGTCATTGGCGAAATAAGATCACATGACACACGAAGGAGGAGGAAAGATACCCGACCAGGACCTCATTGGCCGGGAGCGGTCACGTGACGCACGAGGAGAATCGGTCGACGCCCTTGTCAGAAGTGTAAGTGTAAGGAGCCGATACGAAGAAGCGGGGAAGCGGGTATACGCCCCTCAGAGGCACAGTAAGGTAGTGGAAGTGAGAGTGAGTTACCGAAAATGGAAAATCCCTAACCAGAAATAAGAAGGGTGGATACGTATTTAGAACTATCGAGAAACCCCTGGCGCCGAGAGACCCACCCCAGTTTTGACTGCGTCAATAAAAGCGAGACCCCAACCGACAGAAATCAGAGTTTGCGCCGCGGACGGCGGGCCAGGTTCGTTCGCCCCTTTGCGGGCAAGAGAGGCCAGTTCGTTTGGCCTAAGTGAAGAAGTTCGTCCGACCCAAGCCGAAGAGAAGAAGTTAATTCGCGTACCGACGGCGGAGATGAGTGACCAGTAATTCAGACTCTGAAGAGAGTTTGAGCAGCGGACGGCGAAAGAGTTTCAGCCGCGGACGGCGAGAGAGTTTGAGCAGCGGACGGCGAAAGAGTTTTGAGCCGTGGACGACAAGCAGAGATGAGCGCCCAGTGTTGAAACCGCGTCAAGATAGCTGACCAAGATTCACGCACACCTCAGGACTCTTCTTCAACCAAGAGCAAGTAGTTTGAAGAGCGACTTAGACCACAGAAATAAGTTTTTTCGACTTTCGTCCAAAGACACACCGAAACACAAATTTCTTAGAGAGCAGACAACTTGAAGCCTAAAAGTTGCCTAGTAAAAGCGTCGTGCCACAATCCACAGAACGGGTCGGGAAGTAGACATAGTCCTATGTACCGAGCAAATAGACATAAAAAGTTTGTTACCTTTTTCTTTGATACGTTGGACCTTGTGAGTTTTTTTTTTTTTATATACATAATTGTGTGTTATCACCCCCGTTAGACTCAACTTGCATTACGGCCCCAACCCCTGTTTGATCTCGTCGGTCTAAGATCAATTCACAACGTGGATAGGCAGACTGGAGATCAGTGCAGTTACCCTGGTAACCAGGCGTTGGAAGCGGGTTGGGAACGGAGACGCTGGTATCAATCTAACCAAAGGGTTAGAACGTCACGTTGGAGCAGCGAGGAGCGAACAGCTGACGCCGCGGCAAAGATGTCACAGTTGGTGCTGTCCGTGACCAGGATATCAGAGCTTGGGGAGCACGTGACGTCACAATTGGCGCCGCGACCGGGATCGAACGACATAGTCGACGCTGCGACCGGGGGACGACGTCACAATAAGATTTGTTAGATCATAATTAATAAACCCAAATAAAGTTAATATTTTTTGTATTAGAAACAACGAGTTGAAAATATATTCAAATCAGAATTCTAATTATGAATCTCCACAAGCAAAATATGTAATTTTTTTACTGTATTCAATAAGTAAAAATCATAAATTGTAAAACTAAAAGATTACAGAAAGGCTACTTACATTTTCCAACCGAATTCAACAAAACTTCACTTTTTTTTTAAATGTAGTGTTTCTTATTGTCTTGCACACTTTTTTCTTTATTTTTACATTCAGAATGCTTTAAAAATTCCATTTACAAGACAATTGTTTATAATAAAATTCTATTCAATCGGTAGACTCATAACGATTGAAAACAATGTTTTTGTTTGAGTTTGGGTTTGACCAATTCGTAAAAAAAAAAAAAAACTAATTAAGACATGCGTGTCCGTCAACCTTAAACAATAATCTTTGTCAATTTTATTTTTCAGTCTTTATGATGGTGGATACTTGATCTA